CCGTTCCGTTCTTTCCCGAGTTCTGCTTTCGTTGTTTATTTTTCCAACATTGAAGAAGTTCAGTGGCAAAAAATATATTATTTGCATGGGTATTTTTCTAAAAAATAAAAAAATAAAAAAATAAAAAAAGCCTGTAGCAGTGTAACAGTAACACCAAGAGCATGTCGAAACGCGCTGCCCCTTGTTCCGGGATGTTCGTGGCTCCCGCTGGGATTTGCAATGCCGTCTTTCACCCTCTGTATAAACGGTCGTGCGTTCTGCTGTTTGACTTTGATGCTGTACTTAACGCTGTGGCTGCCACGCCGCGTACCGAGCGCGGTCGTTAGACGATCAATCGTGCTGTATCTGGGCTGTGCGACTTTATGTACTGCGGGGTCTCGGTTTATTGATTTATCCGAGACGTTTCAAGGCTGAGCGTCGAGCGGCGTGACTTCCATAAACCCTTCGTGACTGGGACCGCGTGAAGGACGGGGCGAGAGGAGGCTGGAATAAATTGTCGTAAAAATGACTTTCTCATTTAGCCGTTGTCGTGTGTTTTAATCCGATGGCTCTTCTCCCCTCCGCTTGCTCGTCTTCAGTGCTCCCTTGTGCCTTCCCCAGCGCCCTCCCCTTCTGGCTTCTCCCTTTTGATGACCCACTTTCTTAATAGAGAAAATTGATGCACCTTTTAAAGAAACGTTAGTGTTTGCCCTGGAGCCATCTAGCCACATGAAGAAGTTTTTAATTTTTATTTTCTTTTCCCTTTTGTGCTCAATCTCTGCCAGCCACTGCCGATCCTGCATCGGAGCTGGGATTCTGCTCAGGCCTTGGGCCATGTGATTTTGCTGTATTTAAAAATCAATTACTCAGTATTAACTTATTAAAAAAGGACTTCCTTTCGATTAATGGGCTGTGGGCTTCATCCTCCCCCCCACCCCGGCTCGAGAAGACACATCCTTGCGGATATCCGTATGGCCGAGCCGAGCCTTCCCGCCCCGCAGCGCTGCCTCCGACCTCGGGGGCGTCCTCGGTGGCGTCGACCTCTCGAGTCGGGGAGGACGCGTCCGGCGTCGGATGCTCTTGCCTGGGGTGACGTAGGGGCTCCGATTTAGCCCCGGTTCCTGGGGAATCGGGGCTGAGGCTGTTGGGGCTGGGGGGGAATCGCGCCGCGTTAAGCAGAGTTAAATGCGGCGCCTTGAGCAGGGATGCGACGTCCCCGCTGCTGATGCACAGGCTGTTTCGGGAGCAGAGGGGTAAACTGATTTGTGCAAGGTGAAGAAGGGGGGCAATAAGTAAAATAGGAATAATCACAAACAACCTTTTTTTTTTTGGTAATGACCCTCCTTGGGGTACTGTACCCATTTCACCGCCGGAGGAGGGGAGCCGACAGCTCTGCGCCTGCGCTCTGCTGTGTTATCTGGGGTTTTTGCTTGGAAAAACATGGGTGTGGGGTGATCGGCCAGGGGACGGGGAGGGCACGGCGCAGTGTGGGACGGCGTTCGCTCCTGCCGGCCGATGGGGT